AGTGGTTTTTGCTTTAAAATTTTAGAGGCATTATTTATATGGATAAACTTGTCGGATCTACACGGATCATAAAATTTTGAAGTACTATTTGACTAGAATGATCTGAATTTAAGGCAAAAGAGGTGGATTGAGTTACTTAAGGATTATGATTGTACTATGTTATATCACTTGGGTAAGACCAATGTTATGACCCATGCTTTGAGTAGGAAGTCGGTAGGGAATTTAGCTCATTTATCAAAGTAAAAGTGGCCACTAGCATCATAAGTGAATAGATTATGAGATTCGATGTGATGTTTGAAGTTAATGAATTGAGTGTTTTTTGGCCGATATAGAAGTTAGGTCGATTTTGATGGATCAAATCCTAGAGGCCTATATGAATGACCAAGAAACATAAGAGATTTTCACTAAGATGCAAAAGAGGAAAAGTCTAAGGCTTAGAGTGGATGGGAGAGGTACTCGTGGTTTCATCAAAGGTTATGAGTGTTGAAGAATCCAAAGCTAAGAGAATAGATTTTAAAGAAGGCTCACAATATGGCATGTTTTGTACATCCAAGTTATGTCAAGATGTATAACAATCTTATGAGCACTATTGGTGGATTAGAATAAAGAAAGATATTATAGAGTTTATTTCATAATTTTTGTTTTATCGGTAAGTAAAATATGAGCTCTAAAGACTAGCAAGAATGTTATAGGAGTTACCACTATCGTAGTGAAAGTGAGAGAGAGTGATAATGGATTTTGTAATGGGTTTGCCTTGAACCCAATAAGGCTTTGATTTGATTTGGCTTATCATGGATAGATTAATTAAGTTCTCTCATTTTTTTACTAATAAATATCATCTATGAGTATGCTCAATGTGCTCAACTATATATTTATCGGATCAATCATTTTCTACTAGTAAAAACCACCTATGGGTATGCTCAATATGCCCAACTATATATTTATCGGATAGTGTCCTTATATAACATTCCAATTTCCATCCATTTAGATCGAGGTACTCGGTTTACTTCTCAATTCTAGAAGAAATTAAAAGAGGCTTTTGGTATGAGATTAGAATTCAGTATGGTTTCCATCCTTAAATAGATGGTCAATCGAAAGAATGATTTAGAACTTTGATGATATTCTTAGAGCATATGTGATGGATCTAAGAGGTAATTGGGATTATCATTTACCACTAATTAAGTTCTCACACAATAATAGTAACACTCTAGTATCGGTATGGCATCGTATGAGGTTTTGTATGGCCAAAAGTGTAGATAACCAATATGTTAAGCGAAAGTCGGGAAAATGGAACACTTAGGGCTAGAGTTGGTTCAACTTACTACGGAGAAGGTGAAATTGATCCAAGAATGCCTTAAGACTGCATATAGTAGAAAAAAGCGTTATACGGACCTAAAAAAGAGACATATGGAGTTTCAAAATGGTGATTTCATGTTTTTTTTGAGTTTTTTTTAATAAAGGGAGTAATGTGGTTCGACAAGAAGAAAAAATTAAGTTTGAGGTATATTAAACTGTTTGAGATCATTAATTGAATTAGAGTAGTGGTTTATAAGTTAGCATTGCCACCATAGTTTTTAAGTGTACATCCTATGTTCTATATTTCCATGCTAAGGAAATATGTGCCTAACCTATCTCATATCTTAGAACCACAATTGGTGGATTTAAATCCTAACTTATCATATGAGGAGCAACCAATAGGAGTAGTAAACCATTAGGTTAAGAAATTATATAATAAGGAGATAATGTCCGTTATGATCATTTGGAGGAACCATTTGATTGAGGAGGCTCGTTGAGAGGTTAAGGAAGAAATCAAGAGGAAATATCCTAACTTGTCCACTTACAAAGGTATGATTAGCATTAAATTCAAGGATGAATTTTCTTAAGAAGGTAGGATGTAATAACCCATCCTAAAATGATATTTAAGTTAGTAATTTAAAAAAAAAATTCAAGCAACATATAAAAACAAGATAACTAGTTATCCCTCCCAATGTTTCTTTCTTCTTCCCCTTTCATTCTCATGCAACTCTCCCAAATTTCCCCCTAATTCCCTCCTTCAACTTCTAATTTAAAACCTTGCCTAAATTAACTTAAAAAACCATAAACAAGTTGACTAAAGTGGATTTTAGCTAGATTAAAGCTTGGAAGACTTGGAGAGTTTAGGATAAAAATTGATATTGAAGAGCCAATTATCAAAGGTAAGAAATTTGATCATTTGCTCATTAAATTTGAATGTTTATACATAATTATTGATGATTTTAAAGTTAGATTGCATTGGGTTTGTGTTTGAATGAAGAATTCACTTAGATTAATGTTAGGGTTTTGAGACCTATTTGGAGAAAAGATTGATTAAGAAATTCTAAGTGATTAAATGATGTTTAATTATTTTGGGTTTTTGATTTATGAAGTTAAATTAATTAAATTTGATTAATTGAGAGGTTGAAGATGATGAACGAGTAAAAATTTTAAAATTAGGTTTTAGATTGAAAAGAATTTGAAGAAACTAAATAATTAAGTTCTATAAATACAATTCAAGATGAATAAAATGAGTATTGAGTAAATTAGAATGGAATTGATGATTTAATTAAGAGTTGATTGTTTAAAGTTTGAATTGAATTGGGAATTGATTATGGATAATTGAATTGTTGGAGAAAGATTATAGAGTTTAGTTAAAATTATCAAATTGAATCTTTTCGATCAATTCCATTGTTATAGATAATCTTGTATCCCTATTTCTAAAATAATTCATTTGTTCGAATTATTCTTCGAAATATGATATTGATGGTTATTCCACCATCTTGTGTTATTAAATTCTTTGGAGCAAGCAACTCTATCACAACAACCTTGACTCTGTTCGATCATTCGTTTATACTCGTGAGTAGATAGTATATGACATATTGTGCTTTTAAATTTCTTTGATATATCCGTCATGCATCATCAATTTATCTATGATTTAAGCACATTTGTTAGAACTTAAATGGGAACGGACCTCTTAAGCATTTGAAATGATTTCATATCGAAAATGGTTTGATATGATTTTTTTTAAAAGGATTTTAATATATGTTTCAATAAGTTTTTTACTTATGGTTTGATATGTATTCATGAATTTAAATACTACTTTGATATAGAATTCTATCTTGATATATTCGTATAATTCTAACAAATGTTATTTTGATATTGAATTGCATTATCAAATATGATTTTGAGCATGAATAGTATTTGACGTGTTGAATTTGGGTATTTTGAAATACATATAAGCTTATGTGATAAGCTTATGTGATTTTCTATTTGATTGGTTACCTTGGGATACCCAGCTACGGGAGGTGTATCCTATGAACTCACAATTATGTAGTGCTCTAGCTAGCAGGAGAGGCATAATGCCAACTTGTGTGTCGGCCAACATATGCAAACCTAGCTACGGGAGGCATAACCTTTGCATGTTCACATCTAATGATACGTTTTTTTTCACCCCAAGTGTAATTCGGATATATGGTTTGATTTGATTGTATGATATATATAGATTTTGATGTTTTGATGCGATTTCGTTTTGAACCATTTAAGACACAAAATAAGATCCACTATTTATACTATGCATTTGGTTTTGAACCATTTTCCTTTCTTAGACGTGTATATAGTATCTACTCATTAAAATTATTGATTTGCTCACACTCCACTATTTCAATTTTATAGGGTTTATGAGCTCACCTTTCTACTTCTACAAGTTATTTGTCTTGAAGTCGACATATTAATCATGCAACTTAGTTACTTGTAATCTCTTAGAACTTACATCCGATTTTGTTATAATTATTAGAACCTCTATAATTATATTTTGTAAGAAGTGTATAAGAAATTGATTAAGGATATTAATTTGATAAATGCAAGAATAGTATTGGATTATCATTTGTGTTAGAGATATAAAGTAATGATTATTAGGTTGGTATATTGTAAATTAAAATAGTAGTGCTACATGACACCGATGGTGTTAAAAAAAAAATCACCATAATTTTATAAGGGTAGTGTTTTTTGGAGGCATACAAGGGAGAGAAAAAGGCTGGGTGCTTTATTTTTAGAGGGAAAACAATATATAAAGCAATATATTTCAAACCAGTTCTTGTTTATCGTGTAAGGTTCGGATTCCCAATTATGCTAATGATGAAGAGAAATTTAGAAAGACAATTACTTACAAACAATATTTAATGTTAAGAAATAATTGTTGAAGAATATTCTAACACATAACAAGTCATCTATGAAATATATCAATTTTAGCACACTCGCTTCAATATGCTCGAATTTACACCGATAGATAACCAACAATATTTAAAGCAATAAATTGAAGATAAATCCTTCATATTTTTATCATATAAGGTTTGAATTCCCAATTAACTAATGAATTACAAACAATACTTTCATGGTAAGACATAACGAGTCTTAGATATGCTAAGACATATCAGTTGAACTTAGAAGTATATCATTTTTAACACACTCTTTTAGCATATTAAATTTACACTAATGGATAATCAACAATATTTAAAGCAATAAATTTAATAAATCCTTCATTTTTTATCATGTAAGGTTTAAATTCTTAATTGAGTAATGAATTACAAACAATACTTTCATGGTAAGACATATCAATTGAAGAATATGCTAAGACATATCGGTTGAACTACAAGGTATATCATTTCTAGCACACTAGATTTGCACTAATGGATTTTTAGACCAATCCTTCTTGTTTATCGTGTCGGGTTTGGATTCCCAATTATGCCAATGACGGAGAGGAATTTAGAAAGACAATTACTTAACAAATAATATTTAATGCTAAGAAATAACTATTGAAGAATATTTCTAGTCACATAATAGGTTAGCTATGAAATATATCATTTTTAGCACACTATATTGAGTTTTTAGCATATTGATTTTACACTAATGGATAGATAATAACTCATACATTCCATTTTTAGGGATGATGAATTTAGTGATTTGAATCTAGAAATCGAAACTCAAACATGGAAATATCAAGTCGGAAAGAGAAAGAAGAATTTCGCAATGATGAAGAAAATACGAGTTGTATTCATGGGGATGAAGAGTTTAGGAATTCTAAAACTTTTGAAGCACCCGAGGTCGGGATGGAATTCGATGATGTTGAAGATATATTCCTTTCCTACCGAATTATGCAAGATCAATGGGATTTGTTATTGTGAAGTCTCATTTATAAAAGATTGATGGTGTTCATAAATTCCAAACCATCTCGTGTTATCGCGAAAAGATTTTTCCCCATGCTAAGACTACGAAGGGAATTGGTTGTCTAGCAAAACTAACGATTTTTCCCCATGAAAAATGAAGATAAATTATGTCATCAAAGATCATAACAACAAAATGGATCTAGAGATGACAAGATTTATTAAGCAACACAGCTTCTATCCCTCCACACATGAAGAGAAGGTTATAGATAAATGTCATGGTATGTTTTTGACCAACAAGAATATTAGGTTTGTTGTGGTGCAAGCCGAGGTGTAGAGGATATACCTTGTATAACTAAAGATTGAAAGAATTTTATTAAATAGTCAAGGAGGAGAAGGCTTGGAGATGAAGGTGATGCTACGACTCTTTTGAAGATGTTCTTGAAAATGAAAGAGTGCAATAGAGATTTCTTCTACAAAATTGAAAATGATGATGAAAGCGAGTCAACGAACGTTATATGGGTAGATACTTAAAGCTAGGTCGCTTATCGAGAATTTAAGGACATTGTTACGTTCAATACGACTTACTTGGTTAATCGATACAACATGCCATTTACACCATTTATTGGCTTCAATCATCACTTATAATTAATACTTCTCGATTGTGCTTTATTACATGATGTGGAGCCGAAGACTTTTGATTGGTTGTTTACGAATTAATTACGTTGCATGGGCGATGTTGCACCAAAAGCCATCATCATCGATCAATGTAAGAGCATCGATAAAGTCATGTTGCACGGTCTATGCCAAACACTAGACACATATGATGTTTGTGGCATATTCTAATGAAGTTTTTAAAGAAATTCAAGAATCATAAAAAGAAACATGACTTACGAGAAGCTTTCATAAGTGTTGTGTATGAAAGCTTGACAACCGAGGAATTTGAGAGGGTTTGGGATAAAATGTTTAAAGATTTTGACTTAAAAGGTAAGAAGTGGTCGGTTGAATTTTACGAAGGCGAGACAACGAATAGGTTCCATCTTTTGTGAAAAATGTTTTCTAGGTAGGCATGCTTGTCTACTCAACGGAGTGAGAGTATAAATGTTTATTTTGATGGTTATGTGCATTCTCGGATCACACTAAAACAATTCATAGAGTAATATGAAATTACTTTATGAGATAAATTCAAAAAAGAAAAGTATGCTGATTTTGATACCATGAACGTTACGAGTTGCTTTATGGACCAAATTCCCATTGAAACTTTAATTTCAAAGTGTTTACACCAATTTGATGTTTCGTAAAGTACAAGTTGAGCTACGTGATATGAACTATTATGATGCAATGTACTTGAAATGAAAAGGTCCCGATATCATCTATAAAGTTTTAGATAGGGTTTTTACGAAAGATGGCACTACAAAGCTATTAGAGTATAAGGTAGCATATAACCCTTTCAATAATTATGTATCTTATAACCGTAGGTTATTTGATTTCAAAATAATTATGTGTAGACATGCATTTAGATTGCTGGTGAATAACAATGCACAAGTAGTTATAGACAAGTATTTGTTGAGACGTTGGAGGAAGGATGTAGCTAGAAGTCATAACAAGATCACCACTGGTTTGTTCGGTATTGATGGGACGACACAACATTTATCTTCAATTAGGAAGTTGGAAAAAACATTCTATGAAGCGACTGATCTTGTCAATTCTAATGGGACATTGATGTTATTTATAAAGAAATCATTAAATGACTATTTGTCCACACCGAAAGAAATGACCACCGGCAATACTAGTGTTGAGATGACGAGTAATAACAATGAAACCGATGTTGTGGCTACTGAAGTGGTTGGTACACAAGAATCCATTGTGCTTAAGGATCCAACTATGGTAACCTCTAAAGGCAATCCAAAGGGAAAAGGCTGGTTTTTAGACAGGAGTATGAATCCACTAAAGCAAGGAAAAAAATAAGAAAAAGCCCGAAAATGATGTCGCAGGACCTTCGATCCTTAATATTGTAGTAACTTTAGCAAAAAACACTAAGTGTTTTGGAACACGACCAATCGTAAACTTTATTAAACTTTTGTAAATTTGAATTTCAACATGCCAATACTTAGTTCTAGCATGGAGAAATTGACAATGTATCAATGTAATATAACTAAAGAATATTTACGATATTTTCGAATGCTAGTTAGTGTGCTAAAAAGTCCAAATCCTTCGTATTTCAAGTTACAAAAAACCAAAGTTGTATATTCGTAATGCTAATTAGTGTACCGAAAAGTCAAAATCCTTCATTTTCAAGTTAGAAACATCCATCCTTTTGTTTTCAAAATCCTAATAAATGTGTTGAAAAGTTGGTCTCCTTCGTTTTTAATTTCATTATCAAATGACGAGTGTATCAATTGTATTATCAAATGATAGTTTGTTAGTATACATCAATTTATTTTGTTGGATTCTTAAAGAAACTTTAAGTCTTTCAATCAATACCAATATTATTTTCACCATCATCAAATGATAGTGTATTAATTGTCATTAAATAACGGATGTCACAAAAGTTGATAACTCGAAAACGTCTATTAAATCATAAATATCACAAAATTTGATAACTAAAAACGTCCATTAAATCACGAGATATCATAAAAGTTGATAACTAAAAACATCCATAAAATCATAAATATCACAAAATGTCATAATTGATAAGCGTCATAATAAAAAAAAAGTCCATAAACTAGCAAAAGTAGATATCAAAGATATCATAATCAAAATATAACAAAACCTAGATTGAAATCATTTTTCGGAATTGTCACTAATAGTGACAACATAAACCTTCCTTGGCCTTCCTCGTGATTTCTTCAAATTCATGTTGCTATCTTCTTCCCCGCAGTCCCTCTCGTAGCTCGGAGAATAAAGAGAACTCAAGGGTCCTTCTTTGTTGACCTACATATTGTACGGATGCATCGAGGGAGCATGTCAAGCATTGTAGCAACCATTGATTATGTGTTCACCAAAGCGAGCGAGCATTGCAAAACTCCTTTACCTTATCTTTCCATTTGTTATGATTGTTCTTGCTTTCAAAGAACAAATTCTAAAATGCTAAAGGGGATAAAGGCTTATCAACTCTTATGGGTTGCTTATTTGTTTACATGAAATGAATCACACAAAAAAAATCAGCTTGCTAAAAGATATTATCGAAGAAAATTAAAAATTGAATAAGATAAATGTTTTTGAATATATGTAATCGGGAGTTCGATAAGGACTTGGGATGATTGAACATTTTTCTGCCATTTATCTTGCTTCTTCTCACTAATCAATTTAGGTTAAGTGTGGTAATCTTACAAAGAGTTTATAACGGTTTAAATAGGCTAAGAACTATACAACTATAACCTCTTATAAGATTAACCTACAATAATTTCATTTTTATAGTACCAAGATAGTTGAAGCATGTGTAATTGAAATAGCTTGTTTCCAACGTGAATATATAGAGTCTTTATTCCCTCTCTCTCTTACAAATCTGTTTAAATATAAAATGTCCCTTTCTTTCTTCCCTCCTATCCAACTGCTTGAAATTTTTAATGGTTAATGATGAGTAAAACGACTAGATGTTTCTCTAATAATATAACATTTGGAAATTTTAGAATGCTAAAATATCAATTTCTATGCTGAAAACCGAGTGTTGTGAGTGTTGTTGAAATTTTTATAATAAAACCATACCGTGTTTTTGAAATCTAACCTATACCATAGTAGTAGTCAACTTAGTCAATGGTTAATAAAATGATCATGTAATAGTAGTCAACTAAATTCATCTAATGGTCAATAAAATGATCATGTAATAGTATGTAATATCTCGATGATATCACGAGTAATGGTCAAATAAGTCAATGATCATGTAATAAGATATCAACGATCACATACTAAGATATCGACTAAATTCATCTTGATGATATCATAGTAATGGTCAAATAAGTCAATGATCACTTACTAAGATAGTGAATGATCACATACTAAGATATCGATTAAATTCATCTCGGTGATGTCATAGCAATGGTCAAATAAGTCAACGATCATGTAATAAGATATCGACTAAATTCATCTCGATAATATCATAGTAATGGTCAAATAAGTCAACGATCATATAATAAGATATCAACGATCATATAATAAGATATCGACTAAATTCATCTCAATGATACATAGTAATGGTCAAATAAGTCAACGATCACGTACTAAGATAGTCAATGATCACGTACTAAGATATCGACTAAATTCATCTCGATGATATCATAGTAATGGTCAAATAAGTCAACGATCACTTACTAAGATAATGAATGATCACATACTAAGATATCGACTAAATTCATCTCGATGATATCATAGTAATGGTTAAATAAGTCAACGATCACGTAAAAAGATATCAACGATCACATACTAAGATATCGACTAAATTCATCTCGATGATATCATAGTAAAAGTCAAATAAGTCAACGATCATGTACTAAGATAGTCAATGATCACATACTAAGATATCGACTAAATTCATCTCGATGATATCATAGCAATGGTCAAATAAGTCAACGATCACTTACTAAGATAGTGAACAATCACATACTAAGATATCAATTAAATTCATCTCGATGATATCATAGTAATGGTCAAATAAGTCAGCGATCACGTACTAAGATAGTCAACGATCACGTACTAGGATATCGACTAAATTTATCTCAATGATATCATTGTAATGGGCAAATAAGTCAACGATTATATACTAAGATAGTGAACGATCACATACTAAGATATCAACTAAATTCATCTCGATTATATTATAGTAATGGTCAAATGAGTCAATGATCACGTAAAAAGATATCAATGATCACATAATAAGATATTGACTAAATTCATCTCGATGATATCATAGTAATGGTCAAATAAGTCAACGATCATGAACTAAGGTAGTCAACGATCACATACTAAGATATCGACTAAATTCATCTTGATGATATCATAGTAATGGTCAAATAAGTCAACAATCACTTACTAAGATAGTGAATGATCACATACTAAGATATCAACTAAATTCATCTCAATGATATCGTAGTAATGGTCAAATAAGTCAACGATCATATATTAAGATATCGACTAAATTCATCTCGATGATATCATAGTAATGGTCAAATAAGTCAACGATCATATAAAAAGATGTCAACGATCACATAATAAGATATTGACTAAATTCATCTCGATGATATCATAGTAATGGTCAAATAAGTCAACGTTCGCGTACTAAGATAGTCAATAATCACATACTAAGATATCGACTAAATTCATCTTGATGATATCATAGTAATGGTCAAATAAGTCAACGATCATGTATTAAAATAGTCAATGATCACATACTAAGATATCGACTAAACTCATCTACATGATATCAAGATATAGACTAAATTAGTGGTCAAAATAAGTCAAAGGGTCAATGTAGACAAATAAATGGAATTCGTATATATAACATATCAAGATATAGACGATATTGCAACTTTCATAGTTTATTATCATATTTTAGTGAATTAAAAAAAAGAAAATAAATAATTAATTGCACCATAGTTGTGCTAAGATTACTATTTATTTCACAAAATATCATTTTATTTCCTTCTTAATAAAGGTCAATTCATAAAAAAATAAATGGAATCAACATTTTATTACCATTTCTATTTTTATTTATCTTAATATCAAGTCTCTATAGTTTATAGATATACTAATATTGAAATGTCAATGTAGTTTAATGAATTAAAGCTTGTCAGTAACCAAATCAATTAAACATAGACTTTTTAGAACCATGAAGAAACGTTTTTCAAGCATACTCGAAAAAGGCATGAAAGCAAATGAGTAACCATTTTTCAAAATTAAATATAATTGCTTAAAGGGCTCGCCACAAACAAATCATTACGGTTATTTGTTGGGAATACAATGAGAAAGCCTTCAAATTACATTTTTATCCTTAAAAATGGCGATTTGAACTTGGTCGACAAGGGATGCTTTTGTAATTTAATATGGTGCAAAGTTAGAAGCTCGAACCGGCTATTTAACTCCAACTAATTCAAGACTTTTTAGAACATTGAACAAACCTTTTTTAGCATACTAAAAAAGAACGAAAGCAAATCGATTCACATTTTCCAAAATTAAATGTAATTCATTACAGGACCCACCATAAACAAATCATTACAATTATCTCCTAGGAATGCAATAAGAAAGCCTTGCATTTATGTTTTTATCCTTAAAATTCTGAATTGAACTTGCTAGATAAGGGATGTTTTTGTATTTTAATATGGTGCCCAGTTAGAAGTTCAAAGGACTAGTTTAACTCCAAATAAATCAAGCCTTTTTGGAACACCGATCAACCTTTTTTAGCACTCTAATCAGTTGTGTGCAATTAGAAAAATCAAAAACTTCATGCAGCTTATCTCGTACCAAAAATGATTTTATTGATCACGATTTTTCATAACAAACACATCCATTTTTTTCAATTTGTTTTCCTTTTCGCTTGTAAAACTCTCGATCAACCATGGGAGATAAACGAAAAGGCGAGTAAACCTCATCGTCTTTCTAAGAAGGCAAAGGATAGAAACAATCTGGAACCTTAATATAACTATGATTTAGTTGTTCAAACTCAGCAAGAAAAACCATTCCCTTCAAACCTAAGAAGGAAACGTATTACAACAAAGTGATAAGCTCATAGAGGATCATTACAAGTAAGCGCATTGATTTTGATAATCTGTTAAAGATTGGATTTAATGGGATAGATTATTTTGATAAATTGAGCTACTAGACCTATTGACATTTTTAGAAAATATATACCCCGATTATGTTAGGTATTTCTATGCTAGTTTGAAATCCAAAAAGATCGAAGGGAAAAATGTTCTAACTGGATAAATAAAAGGTGTTAGAGTGGTTATTACAGAGGCTAAAATGCATGAGTATTT